TATCGTTGTTATTCTGGGTGACTTCTGTATGGTATCTGGCTTTCATCAAGTTGACTCTAAGATGTCTAGAGATCCCCATAGTTTGGGAGCTGAGAAGAATAGCAAGAACAGTTTTCTTCTCTGATATTCTGTGAAATCCTAGAAAGTGAGTATTTCCAGTTCCTTAAGCCAGCACTCTAGGCTAAATTGTTGCAGCCAAGGATATTGACCACATCCTAATTAACACTTCTTAGAGGATCCTCCAAAATTCCAGGGTTTACTGGACTGCACAGTTCTTTGGTACTGATTAACCCTAATGATCTGGGTGATATGACCATCAGGTCATGAAAAAATTGTGAAGATGCTGTCATGGCACAATTTGGTTTTGACTGTTTCGGCTGAAGGCTGGGGTGACAGGAAAGACTCACCATTAATGCACAAAGCTCTTGAGGGTGATTAGACTCATTTGGTTTTTAGGAAATGGATTTTGCATTATTTCCATCAATAAACAAACGTAGAATGCAGGGTTCATCAGCCATGACTGGAAGGGTGCCAGCACCTGGGAGCACGCTATTTCCATACCCAAGATCCTATTCCTGTCCGCCATGACCAGTGGCATAGGTTGTATTACAGAAAATTGAATATTATGATTTTTTTTTTTTTTTATACCACATATAACAAAATGTTACTTATTGTCATTATTATTGCACTTAGTTATAGACTACCAAAAGAGATGCTACAGAGTCTGTGCATGAAAAACAGTCAGTTACCATCGAGATGAAGCAAATCAAATGACAAATAGGTACATTAGAAAATGACAAAAAAATTAAAGAAAAATGATTATGCTGAAACAGGCAAAATAACATTGCAAAGGGGAGGCATAGAGTTTTGTCACTACAAGTGAGGCATTACACTGTTCAGTATACCAGGCAAGGTGCTTGCCAACATCTCTCTGAGGTATATCAGAATCTTCCTATAGAAGCAGCAGGGCCTGGAGCAACCTGGGTTTAGTGTTGCCAAATCCACAATTGATAGTGGCCTTGAGCTTCAAGTCAATGTGGAGCACTTTCATGGCAGAGATATTGGACTAATAATGGGCCTGTATACTGGAACAAATAATACAGTGAAGTGTGGTATCTAAAAGCTTTTAGATGCCAAATGTCGCTCGCAAACTACCAGTTGAGCTGGGCGCAAATGGGAAACTGCTGATGCGCGCCAACAATCCTTTTATTATGTTTACTTGCCAAACATTTTTACCCGGCAGCACTGGGTTAATAAAAGCGTATCCTTAGTATTGTAGCAACCACGACCCGCAGCCTGCAGCTTGGCACAATTGCCCAGGTTGGGTCTTCCCAGGTCCAAATCCTTGTCCACACTCACTCACCAGCAGGAGCTTCTCACGACTCACTGACAAGTCCTGACTGGCTCACCTGGACACTTCTCGGCTCACACTCACACAATCACTCTCTTGAGAGATAATGATCAGTTCAAGTAGTAGATGCAACCTCATCTATTACAGTACTGATTAATCATTAGTTTTGTTTCTACATTTTCATTATTTTTCTGTATATATATATATATTTTCATATAAGTGTGACATTAGCAATTTTCAATGCTGTCCTGGAAAGTGAATCATATAATTTCATGCACATATTTAGAATAAAACTTTTTAAATGATATTCACATATACTCCTTACTTAACAGAAAAGACTATGAGCACTTTGGGATGGGAGAACCTTATTTCCCCATGATTGACGAGATTGAAGAAAGCTTGAAGCAGCACGAACAAGTATGGGGTCTGTTTGATGAGTTCAATAGCAGCATGGAGGAGTTTTCAAAGGAGGAATGGATTGTGTTCCGGAGCAAGACTTACCGTTTCGAGGAGTTTTTGTCCAACTGGAGTAAGTCTGTTTGGAAACTTTGATTAAGGTGTTCTGTAAAGTTGATTTTTATTTTTCAAGAAAAAAAAAAATCTAGGTATTTGCTCTTAGTCATCTGCAATTAGTGTAGGAAAGAAACCATAGACATATTGTTTATCTAAAGAAGATTAGACACAAAAAAGTAATTCTGTACTCATGTACTCATTTTGTCACGTTTCAGATGACAAACTTCGTTCATCGGGTGAAACCACAGTTGTAACTGTTCGGCTCATACATGAACTGGAAAAATACAGAGCAATGTTACCAGTATTGAAGTATGTCCGTGGAGAGGTGTTTTCTGAGAAGCACTGGATAGAGATGTATAGTATTCTTGGCATACCGACCAATGTCACCATCGATAAGCTCACTTTTGGACATTTCTTGAAGGTAGACTATTAGCTTTTTCCATGTTCATACATTAAATGTTGATGTGTAATTGTTAACTGAAGGATGTTTGAATTGCATATGCCAGCAACAATATAGAAAAATATAATGATTGATATTCTATTGAAATGGAACAAATTTAAAGGCTTTAAGACAAATGTATCAGTATAATTTGGAGTGACATCATAAACCAAACCAAAAGTAATCACTTTATCAATTTTTTCCATATATATTCTCACATGCACTAAGTATCACTTCCTTTGGGAACAGGTCCGTGATGAGATGATAAACCAGAATGATGTACTAAAGGAGATGAATGCTAAAGCTGCAGGAGAGGTTGTGATCCGCCAAGCCCTTGGAGAGCTGGATGTGTGGGAGGTGGATGCACGGCTCACCCTTATCCCCCACTCAGACTCCCGCAACAACGAGATCATGCTTATCAAGGAATGGAAGGATGTCATCAACAAGGTTAGGTTCACAGGTTCTTGTTCCGATAAGTTCATGTAGATGTCTTGATAAAGTCAGGTAGATGGCTTTGATTAACCTGTCCTGTGTGCCATTACTAAAAATAAGAGACTACAACATATAACAAAACATGGGTCAGAGCAGATGTCAGTGGAGCAAGACATGTATATACAGAGAGTCCATCTCTTTCTGACTCCTTGCAACATATCTGATCAATCTGGCCAAACCACATCTAGGTTTGTCTTTATAAGAGATAACTTGGGTTAGATTTTCCTCAGGGTATCGAGCCAGTTGACTTTATAGCCTGAGCTGGCATTCCCAGTTTGTGTAAGTAACAGATCCTACGCTGGTTTCATGGTGTAACTGCTGGTTCTGTCAGCTGTACCCTATGTGTAAGGGCCTTTTGCAAAAGGATCTAAGGATCAAGGTTTCACATCCTTGAGGCAAAATTAGTAGTAACAGGGTCTTGAGAGACACATAGATTGGTCCTTCGGCACAGTTACAGGCATGTCCAAATACTTTTATCTAATGAATTCACAGCACCTGCAGCCAGAAAAATTTGTGTATTGACTTCATGATTTGACAGCCCAGAGTGATGAACTACACTACCAAGGTATATAAAGCTATGTATGACTTTGATATCCTCACTGCAAGTATATACTAACAGGAAAGGTTCTACCATGTCCCCTAAATCCTGAATCTTGGTTTTAGTCCATAAGAAGGCTAGACCTGAAAGCTCCTCCTCTTTGCCCAATGCATTGAGAGGTGTTACTAGGATTTCCAGGGAGTCAGATAGCAGTAGTAATTGATCTTGATACAAGGAGCAGATATTCCAAGCCTCCACCTTGTCAGCCCATCTGAATTTAAACCTTGGGCAGTTCTTTAAGTTGGAGGCCACCTCTGCCACCCTCACCAGTATTGCCCTAGATAAAGCCCATTATCCATCTGTGTGGTTGATATAAGGCAACAGGAGAAATGAGGAAATTAGTGTTTGCAGGTTTGTCTGATTAGGCAGCCCATGCATAACTCAGAATTAGTCAGTGTGTCTTCTTTGTTTTTTTGTTGGCACATGTAATGATGATACAAGAAGACAGAATGAGTAAAGATCCCTTGTGTTCACTGTCAGGTTGGTGACCATCAGAGCCTTCTGCAGTCTCTCAAAGACTCGCCCTACTTTGGGGGATTTGCAGATCGGGCTCGCATGTGGGAGCAGCGCCTAGCTGACCTGGATGAATATCTAACCAATTTGAATCAGATTCAGGTATGGTTTGCATACTCTTTTACAATTTTATTGATTTTTTATTAGTTTTGTGGTTTAGATGAAAATATTATATACTTTCACAGGAAATTTTTATGAAAGTGTATGTGTCTGTGTGTGTTTGTGTGTGTGTGTGCGTGTGACATGAAAAAGGATACAAAATGCACAATTTGTATTATATTTTATCTCTAAGTATATGTATATTTTTATTTGATAATGATTACAAACATAAATTTCCTTCTCAATCTGCAGAGAAAGTGGGTGTACTTAGAGCCCATCTTTGGAAGAGGTGCACTACCTAATGAACAAGGAAGATTTCGTAGAGTTGATGATGACTTCAAAGCAATTATGGCAGATGTTGCAAGGGACAATAAAGTGGTGTCACTCTGCAAAATCAATGGCATGCGAAACACTCTTACAACACTTCTTGACCAGCTGGCTAGGTAAGTTGATTGTAGGGGGAAAGGTAACAGGATAGAGTGGTTTGGTTTGTCTTATGAAATCTCTATGCAGTTGCATGTATGAGTATCTTGGTGAAGGGGTAGGTATTGTGTAAATGCTATGATTTTAACAGAGAAGAATGTAACCCAGCTTATACTAATTTGTTTACTGCATTTTTTAGCCTTTACTCTTTTTAGCAGAAATTTCATAAAGGAATTACAAGCTAACATCTATTGTGAGCTAAGGTTTGCATGTTTGAAATGAAGGTAGACTGACAGTAGTAATATTCAGTATTCCAATAACACTCTCTTAATCTCAACATCCATTAACCCCCTAGATGCCAAAAGAGCCTTAATGAGTACCTGGAAGAAAAGAGATCAGCCTTCCCACGCTTCTACTTTATTGGTGATGACGATCTGCTGGAGATCTTGGGACAGGCCACGAACCCTGAAGTCATTCAGGTACAAGGGCATGAGTCTAGGGTTCTTCCGACAGTTCTTTTCTTTTTACAATTGTAATGTGTCTTTGTACATGACAGGGACTATTTTGGAATGTTTTATGCTTTTTTATATTTTTTTAGGGGAGCAGAAATATTAATTTTTTTATAGATAGAACGCATTATTTATATAAGATATTTGAGCAATTGATATAGCAACATTTTTCCTTTTTTTTAGCTCTGTATGATATTTGTTGGTTAATTATGAAAGTGGATAATTTTACCTTCACTATTACAAACTATTTTTTCAGGCCCATTTGAAGAAACTATTTGCTGGAATCCACAATGTAAGATTTGATGAAGAGAACTCCCACATCATAGCCATGAGAAGCTTAGAAGGAGAAGATGTACCACTCAAAAGGCCTGTTCAAATATCTAATGAAGTTGAGGTAAATGGATTTAAAAAGGGGATGATGAGTACAGGATAGCTTTGCCTTTGGCAATTATTTGGTACTTGAAAAGCATCTAACCAAATGTGAAATTGCTAATTGTGAATAATTGGACAAATGAAAAGTTATTTTACTGGTGCTGGAGGCATTGGAGTTTCCACCCAATTTTGCTTGTCTGCCATTTAAGCCATAAACATTTGTATGTAATGAATACCAGATGTAAAACTGCAGTATTCCGTTTTTAGGACTGGTTATACCGTCTAAGTGAAGAGATGAAGATGACGCTCCGTCAGCTGCTGAGTGAATGCCTGGAAGAAGCACGCAGTGAAGCAGGGATGGACCCTCTCAGGTATCCTTCTCAGGTAGGATTATTATCTTGGCTTTGGTTTGTGTGTGCTGTATAATGCTTATATTTGTTGCTTATGTGGTTCTGTAAAATACTTAACATGGTTGATTTACAGGTTATGTTGTAAAATAACATATTGTATTTTAGAATAATGATTTTTGAAAATTATCTTCCACTTTGAATAGAGGAGAATGACTTCCACTTTGAATAGAGGAGAATGACTTCCACTTTGAATAGAGGAGAATGTCTTAAGAAATTTGATTAAATTCTCATTTCACTATCTCCCATGTTAGATCCTGTGTTTAGCTGACGCCATCCTCTTTACCGAGCGCTGTGAAGAGTCAGTCAAGGAGGGCAGTCTAACAAGCTACCAGAAGGAACTTGAGGTCAGTGTTTAGGGAGAAAATTAGACCATCAATGAGGAAGTACTTAATGCCAGTTTGTCATCTTTTTATTTAGATTAAACAACTTGGTTGATGAATTATGTCCTATTGGAAAGGTCGCTATGAAATGATATGGTTAGACAATCTGGGGAAGTTTAATAAAACTGGGGAATGGTAATCCCAGTGACACTGAGAGAGAAGAAAGTGATGAGTATGAATGCTAATGTCAACTTGTTATGATAACATCTTTTGTAATACTTAAGATAGTAATGATTATAGTATTACTGATAACACAAACAGTGACAGATACATGAGTTTTATTATACAGTTATGACTTGGATGTAACATGTGTGATAAAAATTTTGTTGCAGGCAAAACTGGAATCATACACAGGGGTCGACCTTAGCTCGGATGGCACCCCTGAGGGCAAGGCAGATAGCCTTGTCTTAGAACTGAAGTTGAAAGCATTGATTCTGGATACAATTCACAACATTGATGTTGTTCAGATCCTGTTGCAAGCCAACACCACGTCCTTGTCCGACTGGCCCTGGCAGAAACAGCTCCGGTGATTTAAACTGATTTGAATTTATTTGGGAATAGTTAAGAGTTGAAGAGGCAGTTTGGATGTGTCATGAGATGGAAGGAAAAAAGCAACTAACTTTGATGTGTGTGTGTGTGTGTGTGTGTGTGTGTGTGTGTGTGTGTGTGTGTGTGTGTGTGTGTGTGTGTGTGTGTGTGTGTGTGTGTGTGTGTGTGTGTGTGTGTGTGTGTGTGTGTGTTGTGTGTGTGTGTGTGTGTGTGTGTGTGTGTGTGTGTGTGTGTTGTGTGTGTGTGTGTGTGTGTGTGTGTGTGTGTGTGTGTGTGTGTGTGGTGTGTGTGTGTGTGTGTGTGTGTATGTATGCATCTGCTTTCTGTGTATGTGTGTGTGTATATATATATATATGTGTATAAGTATACAGCACTAATTTGAAATAACAGTGTACATTTCCATATATAGCAAAAGGAAATCATATATTAGAATTACATTACATGACAATAAATTGTTAAACCAGAATGTAATTTCCATTTTGCTATATCTTGCTTTAGATTCTATGTGGGTGATGGTGGTTCAGCTTTCATGCGGATGGTTGATGCCCAGTTTGATTATACATATGAGTACCAAGGCAATGCACCGAAGTTGGTCCATACTCCATTGACTGATAAATGCTACTTGACATTAACACAGGTAACTTTCTTTGATAGATGGTATTAGGATTAACTTAGCTAGGTTCAGTATTTACCTGTAAATATTTTCACATGATTAGCAATATGGTAAATATTGATATTGAAAACTTGAATGTAATTAGTCACATTATTGTCAATCTAGTATAAATGTTATATAAGCCTGACTGAGAGGTTTTGAAACTGACTGTGCATTGTTTAAGATATAATAGTTTAAATGATACATCTTTAATAGTAACAAATAAATAAATACATATTTTTTTATGGGCTTAGTTTCAATTCAGGTGAGATATGGACACTTGCTAACATTTTAAACACCTTTTGCAGGGAATGCACATGGGACTAGGTGGTAATCCCTATGGTCCAGCTGGAACAGGCAAGACAGAGTCAGTGAAAGCACTTGGGAACCTGTTTGGGCGGCAGGTTCTCGTTTTCAACTGTGATGAGGGCATTGATGTGAAGAGCATGGGCCGTATATTTGTTGGTTTGGTGAAGTGCGGTGCTTGGGGCTGCTTTGATGAATTTAACAGATTGGAGGAGGCCGTGTTGTCAGCTGTTTCCATGCAGATCCAGACCATCCAGGCAGCTTTGAAGTCACAAGCATCCTCAACCATGTTGCTAGAGAAAGAGGTGATTCTTTTTTGTGTGTCGACCTGTTTGCTTATTATTATTGTTATTATTATTGTTGCCATCATTTTGATTTGAATATTTTTAATGAATTTGATTAGTTTTATTGCTTTTTTATTGTAATTTCTTATCATGATTTTCTAAATATCTTGAATTTGTGATTCATTTACAGGTTCCTGTTGATCCAAACTCAGGGATCTTTATCACACTTAACCCAGCTGGCAAGGGCTATGGTGGCCGACAAAAGCTACCAGACAATCTGAAGCAGCTGTTCCGGCCTGTTGCAATGTCCCGTCCTGACAACGAACTGATTGCTGAAGTCATCCTATTTTCTGAGGGTTTCAAGGAAGCCAAGAGCTTAGGACGTAAACTGGTGGCCATTTTCACATTGTCCAAAGAGCTCCTGACACCACAGCAGCACTATGATTGGGGTCTGCGAGCCTTGAAAACAGTACTGAAGGGCTCGGGAAATCTTCTGCAATCATACAGGTAAGTAAAGGCAAATGAAAGTGTATTTTTCTATAAAAATAATGAAATTGAAATATACAAAAGATGAAAGAGATATGGCTATAAGCATTTGAATTATTATAAAGGCAAAGAGACTGAACTCATAAACATCAAATAATGGGAAGCAAGAAAATTTTTGAAAGGAATCTGTCCAAAGGTCAATGACATGTTTTTTCTTGAAAGTCATTATTCTAATTTTAGAAATCCTTTGCCTTTACAGAAAATCCTTGTCAGATGAAGAAAAGGAATCAGGGATCAGCTTAACAGTTGAATCAGAACTTGTGGTTCAAGCGCTGAGGCTTAACACGCTGTCAAAGCTAACCTTCTCGGACAGTTCAAGGTAAAGTACACAATATTTCTGTTGATGTCATTAACCCATTCCCCCCAAGTAATTTTGGCCATCTGGTGTAACTATATGCTTCTCACATTTTTTAGACTAACCTGGGTAGCTGGGCAAGTTCTGCATCATTGCTTGTTTTTGAGTCTTATTCATCATGATTATGAACCAGAAAAAAAGAGAGTATAAGTTTGCTACAGGATTTTCTTGAAATACTCTTTTCATAATAGGCCATGAGTTAAAGAGACTGAAAGATACCTTGTATACCTTTGGCAAGACTCATGTCACCTAGATGAATGACTAGTTTATTCATAAAGTGGATTTCACATCACCTAAAGGAAACAAGTTGATACTAGGCAATTAATATTTTTTAATGACTGTTGTAAGTTTAGTGTTCACAGGTGCATATATGTTGATTTGATTTTAAATGTGCATGCATTGTGTAAGTGATAAGGTGCACATAGAACTTTTGAAAATTATTTCCTGTCATGGGTTTGTAAAAATATGTTGAATATTTTCAGATTTGATGACTTGGTGAAAGACGTTTTCCCCGATGTGAAATTCAGGGGTGTAGGTTATGAAGACCTAGCCAGTATTCTCCAAGAAGTCTTTACTGAAATGGGTCTAATACCAAATGACAGGCAAATAAAGAAGGCACTAGAGCTATATGAACAGCTTCAGCAGCGTATGGGGGTAGTGATTGTAGGTCCTTCAGGGTCAGGAAAAACGACATTATGGCAAACTCTGCGTCAGGCTCTACTCAGGATGGAACAACAGGTGAAGAAATATGTCATGAACCCCAAGGCCATGCCCAGACAGCAGCTTCTTGGACACATTGATCATGACACAAGAGAATGGTCAGATGGTGTCTTGACAGCTTCTGCACGCCAGGTGGTGAAGGAACCCACGGAAGTTACTTCGTGGATCATCTGTGATGGAGACATTGATCCTGAGTGGATTGAATCACTCAACTCTGTGTTGGATGACAATCGACTGCTAACTATGCCATCTGGTGAGAGAATTCAGTTTGGACCTAATGTAAATTTCCTCTTTGAAACCCATGATCTTTCGTCTGCATCACCGGCCACAATCTCTCGGATGGGCATGATATTCTTAAGTGATGAAGATACCAACATCCAGGCAGTCGTCAGTGCATGGCTTTCCTCACAGGAAGAAAGCACTAGGAAATACCTTGAACCTTATATTGAAGAACACTTTTTCAAGGCACTTGAGTGGGTGCTGCGTGCA